CTTTTATGAACATGGCTAAACTGTCCTGCCATGGGAATGAAAATAACTTGCAATTGTAACAAAATGCTGTATCTTTTGATGATGAGTAGAACAACCAACTTATTATTTGGAAGGATTTTATTGTAGTACCTTCCAGAAAAGCTTCTCTTAGCATTGTTCTTAGGAAATGCTATACCTACCTCTTACTTGTTCTGGGTTTATTTCCGACTAAGAAAACTCTATCTTTATCATCTAGAACATCCGGCCATAAAATCTAGAACATCTTAAATTAATTAAACTCTTATTTGCTGTTATTATAGATAGATCATATAGATAGATCATCACTGTTTTCAGTATCTGAATTTTTCCTCACTTCGCCTTGATTCTTTTATTCTTTCTAGATTACATTGTTTTTTTCTTTTCGTTTTTTCTAATTTCCTCTGCTGGCTGCCTGATAGTCTTTTTCCTTGTTCGGATATCTGGAATTAATGTTATTCAAAAGATCTCAATAGAACATTATCGCACCGCTAACAGGTAAGGTTGACATATGATTTCCCAATTACACATTATTGTAATTTTCAAAATACTTACCGTTGTATTTAATTATTTAACATTATGCGCTACTTAAGCAGTTACATAACATAACTATCGTTACTTTTTATTTGCCTGCACCTCCTGCACCCCCTTGCAGGATTGCACAGTCACATGAGTCTGCCCTGAAGGAGCACTACTTTAAGAAGTGGAAAAGATCTAAACAACTATCATACTATAATGAATATGTTAGGTTGCGTCGTTTATCCAATGATGCAATTGAATCTGATTATTAGTCTTAGTGAATACCGAAAATTGTATATCCACCGACCCCAAAACTTTCTGGCATTACGTGAATCAGAAACATCATGTATTCCAGGCTGTATGACCTTTGCTGGCTTTGAGATCTTTGATCCCCTGGGAATAGTGCAGACCTTCTCTGTCTTGTTTTCTGAAACCTTCAATCCTGGACCTACAACTATCAATAACTGTAACCAACAAGTCAACTGTCCTGGATCCTTCTACATTACTCCATTTTTTGCCGAGTTTTATTATTAAAGATTGTGCACCCTTCCTCAGCACTCCTTTAACCTTTATATTTAATTTATGGTTAAATACTAAAACTTTTCCTGCAATATGCTAAAAACTCGGATTTTAAAAAGGGATACAAATTTAGTATTTTTGAACAATTGCTCAAACATCTTCGAGATGTTGCTACACTCCAGAATGACCTCATATATATCTGATCATCAGTACGGATTTATGACTGATCGTTCAACTAACTTAACTATAACTATTCAACTTTAACTATAAGCATTTGATAGATTAGATCATGGAATACTTTTTTCTAAACTCTGCAATCTTCGATTTACCAATGATTTCGTGGATTTAATTTCATCTTATCTCTCCAATAGACTTTGCAGAAAATGTTTCATCGCAGACGAAATGAAAAATCTTTTGTTTATTTGTAAAACCGTTCGAAACCTCAAAGCAGGCTATTGTTCCATACACCGTTGTGTATATAGTTAGTAGTTGTGTTATATATAGTTGTGTATATATACTGTGTGGGTGTTGAAGCAATACGCAGAGATTCAAAGACAATTCAAAGATCCAGTTGCAATTCAAAGACCATGTTAACGCTATAGTAAAGTCAGCTTCTGGTGCATTGAGTTTTATCATCAGACAATGTAAAGCTGCATTAACAGTACTTTTCTATGTGTTTGTTCGTACAAAATTGGAATATAACATCAAGCTCCTTATGAGATTTCGTGATCAGGCTTATAGTAGATTCCGCCAGAGCAGGTGTCTCAATCACTTCCAGTATTATAAACAACTACGTAATTACACTAACTCGGCCATTCTGAGAGAAAACGGGCGTTTTTAAACACATTGTTTCAGGAGCGATCATCTCGTGATCTTTGGATGAGTTTTAGGAAATTGGATGTTGTCAAAAATAAGACTCAAGTATTGACTGATACTGGTTTTGATGCTGATACTATTAATAATTTCCTTCTCAGCACTCAAACTAATTCAACGGGAAGTGCTGAGTTGATTAACGTTTATTGGAATAACATACTTCCACAAGTTACAGAAAAACTAACATTTTCTCTTACAAATGAAACTGAAATTTTCAATATTCTATGTGGTATCAAATCAAACTCTGTTGGTATGGATGGCATAAGTGTTAAAATGCTTTTAATGTGTTGTCCTACAATTTTGCCCTTCTTGTGCCATATAATTAACTATTCCATTGAATGTTCTGTGTTCCCTGATATTTGGAAGATCGCCCTGGTAACTCCAATTCCAAAAACCCAAAATCCTCATGAATTGGGGGACTTAAGGCCAATTAGTATATTGCCTATATTATCCAAGGTTTGTGAGAGGGTCATGGCGGTCAGACTTCGCTGTCATCTTGATGATTATAATGTGTTGCCCAGTTGCCAGTCTGGCTTTCGTCCGGGATTTAGTAGCGCTACTGCGCTTCTGGGTGTGACGGATGAAATCTTCAAAGCAATTGACGACAAACGGGTTACTATCTTAACACTTTTGGATTTTTCTAAGGCTTTTGATAGAATACATCATGATACTTTAGTGGCTGCGCTCCATTATATAGGTTTATCTTTAGGTTCGATTCATTTAGTACAAAGTTATTTGTCTGGACGAAAGCAGTTGGTTAAACTTAATGGTGGTACATCCAATACCGCAGATGTTATATCGGGTGTCCCACAGGGCTCTATTTTGGGTCCTCTGTTATATCTGATATCTACAATTGGGTTCGCTAATGTTTTGGATCACTGTATGCCATACTTTTATGCTGATGATACTCAACTGCTCTACTCCTTTAAACTGTGTGATATGGAAGACGCTGAAAGCAAAATTAATCATGACTTAGTTAAGGTCGAAGAACTTGCTGGCAAGCTTTGTCTACGGATTAATTCTAGTAAGTCATCGGTTATGGTTTTTGGGGATAGAGCTTCATCCGAGTTTGTAAAAACTAACTTGCAATTGGTGATGGGTGGAAGTCGTCTTAGCTTTGAGGAAAATGTAAAAAATTTGGGTATATGTTTCGATGAGCGCCTTCGCTTTGATGGGTATGTTCGGTCCCTTCTACGGCGAGCTTACTCTACATTAAGGTTGCTTTACAAGAACAGATACATTTTGAACCAGAACCTTAGAACGCATCTGTGTGATGCCTTGGTGTTGTCCATCTTCAATTACTGTGACGTAATATATCACTCCTGCCTTGACAGCGTTCATACTGCTAAAATTCAAAAGTTACAAAACTCTTGTCTGCTGATTTATATATGGTATCTGTAGAAGGGAGCGCATATCACATACGCTGGCATGGGCTGGTTGGTTGAGCATGACACGGCGAAGGATTCTTCACTGCTTATGTCTCTACCACAAAATTATCTTACACAAAAATCCGCCTTACCTTTATGATAAAATTAGATTTCGCACAGATATCCATAATATTAATATTAGGCATAAACATACGCTGACGATACCTCACCACCGCTTAGAAATTTTCAAACGCAGCTTTACGTATTGTATGCCTAACTTATACAATTGGCTACCTGATTCCTTCAAGAGTCTTTCTCTGATTTCCTTTGAGGCAAGGGTTAGGGCTTATTTAAGTGAGCGGCAAGTTGACTGAGCACTCTTCTTCTTTGTTTATTTTTAAATGGTTTCATAGCTGGGGGGAGGATTGGGGGCTAACAGAGATTGAGATATATATATGTATGCTTGTTATATGTAAGTATGCTTCTTATTGTGTATTTTAAGTTTGTTAATTTTTTTTTGCGCTTATAATCGGCTTGATTTCATTTAAATTTTATTTTTGTCTTATTATTTTGCTGAGGGTCATTGAAAAACAGTGCGACAAAGGGGCCTTGGTCACTTGGTCGACCTGACATGACCCTCTTTAATCGGAACTGCCTTTTTATAATTTTTTCTATTGTACATATATTATATCTTATCCGATTAATAAACATTATTATTATTATTATTATTATTAATATGGTTCATGACCAGCTCATGCTCGAGAGAGTGCAGAAGAGGTTCTTAAAATACTTACGGTTTAAAACAGTTGGTCAGCATCCGGAGCGAGGCGTTATTGGAAGAATTTAACTTTTCATCTTTGAACAATTGTAAAGATATATATTACTTTAGGGTCGGCATCCGCATGAGGGCAGACTTTTGAAGAAGGAAGTGCGTGGTCAGTGCTGTTGGCTAGGTTCTTTATTTATCCCTATCGTCTTCCCTCTCTTTCTGACCATCTCTAGGGTTTCTCTCTTCTATCATCATCTCCATGATTATCTTTGGGTATCGTCGTATTATCAGGTGTTTGTACCACTGAAGTTGTTTTTTTGGGATCTTTCCCTAGTTCTGCTCTGATATTTCTGTTTCTGACCCGATCATGTCTCGTTCTTTCTAGCACCCGTCATAGCTACATCATTTATGACGCAGTTAGTTTTGATCGCTGTTTCTCTGTTATCGTCCATGATTCGGATCCAAGTATCATGAACATAGGAGGATATCATCTGTATATAATAAATCCCTTGTTGTTATTGGGTTTAGGTTTAGGTATCCTAAGTTTACTTCCTCTTTTACTATAGATTCCTGTATTTGCTCATCCTCTTCCTCCTCTTCTTCTTCTATGTTTTTCTCCTCTGTTTTCCCTAATGTGTCTATATAATCTTCTTTCCAGGCTTCCAAGATTCCTAGTGATGTTGTTTCCAAACTTTTTCTTTTATTTTTGTGATTTCTGATTTTCTGGGATGAGTTTTATCGTATCTTCCTCATCATCCAGAAGGTGATCTTCTTCTTTTCCCTTATTATCTTTTTTGTTTCATTACATTTCTCAATGTAGTTTGTACTGTTCTCCTGCGTTCTCGAAAGACACCCATTAGAACTTTAATGCTGCTACGTGCAAGTCCTGAAATATTCCCGGGCGATATTAATAAACAACATAGCATGTCTCATTCCAGGAAAACGGATTCAAGGTAATCCAAAGGTAGATCAATTACAATCTGTAAATCATGCAGATCAACCTCATACATCTTCATTTGAGGGAGATTATGGTGTCAATGGAATAGACCCTATTATCATTTTTGAAGGTAATTTTTAATCGATTAATTTAAATTACATAAAAAATTCTAATTTTTCAATTTATTGTGAAAAGTTGAACCAAGGGATGAAGATAACGCACAAAGTGTGGCGTCCGAAGGAATAGGAACCGATGTTGGAGCACAATCCAGCACCTCTTCCGAAGGTAATGTTAATAGTAAATTAACAATTTTTGGAAAAACATTGTATTTATTATTTTTAGAGCCAAATACAAATGAAATTGAAATTGGTGCCGAAGCTAAGAGTGACAATCAAAATGAATCACCAAAACGTAATATATTAGAATCAGCAATTTTGCAATTACAGCCACCAGATCATTGTTATCTTTACCAAAACCTCCCGGAATGTATAAGATGCCCACAATACCAAATTTGTTGTATAAAAGCGGATGATTACTGCCGAAGTTGCCAATCAGTTGAAAGTTCCATCACGCATTTCCTCAATGCAGACACTTACGCCAGTAACCTTCTCTCGTATTACTGCTGCCCAAGAATGGAGCATCTAGTTTATCACGATAAAAGAAGACCTGCAATCCCAGAGGTACAAAACGCAGAAAATGTAGCTGCGCAGAACGAAATACCAATTCAAAATTATGAACCACCTGCTAGGAAAGAACAAAATGTAACTCCTGCTAAACACCATGAACAATCTAATTCACTTAATTCAGTTAAAAGGAAAAATTATTACCCCAAAAAGCAGAATAATTTTAATAAAACAACAACTAATGCGTCATATTTGAAACAGGGGGCAACACCAAAAAAGAAGCGAAATCTTGAGCAAAAAGCTACAACATCGGCAAATGAAAATGTCGAAAAGAAAAGAAATAAGCCAAAAATATTTCGTAACAAACAAACTCCTTCCAAATTAAATACTCCACCACAAAAGGTTCCTGCAAAAAATAAGAAAAAAGAACCCCCATTCATGGAACCAACTCGTGTTACGGTTCCAAGTCAAGTCTGCATTCAATTAAGAAAACGATTGAATGAAGAACCACTTTATAAGGTTCATTTTGGACATATTATTATTAATGTGTACAGTGCTGATGAACTTAGTAAGGTTCCAAAATATTATCAGGAATATTTTGAAAAAATAATGTCTGACGAAGAAAAAGGTTTGATTAATTAACAATTTATTATGTAATTTTAATATTAATTTTTTTCTAGGTACCAATACAAATAAAAATGTTAAAGAAAATAATTAAGAAAATGTTCTTATCAAACAAGAAGACGTTTCTACCGATAAGAACAACTAAAAATAGTTGAGTTAAAAAAGAAGATAATTTTAGTTTTATGTAATCACTTTCGAAAGGAAGATAACTTCTTCGTCTTCGATAGAAAACAAATTGTTGTTTCTACCGATAAAAACAATTAAAATAGTTGAGTTAAAAAAGAAGATAATTTTAGTTTTATGTAATCACTTTCGAAAGGAAGATAACTTCTCCGTCTTCGATCGAAGAAGACAAATCGCAGAAATACTTTTTTTTTATATTTTTATTATATTAATGTTTATTACTCTGTTTAAACGCATGAAAATTTTTTTGAGTTGTCACTTTTATTTTTGGAATAATAAATACGTTTTTTGAGTATTTTTCTCTTTTATTAAACGCCCTTGTTGTTATTTTACGTCTCTTAGAGAACATTTTCCTGCACCGATCTTTGTAATTATGATACACCCTATATAATTATATAAGATGTAAGGGTGATTACGCATGTAGCGATTATGGAGAGAGTTCTGCAATGGAATTTGGTCTTTTACAATTGGCATACAGTTTCCTCCAAGCAATATGTAGCCTTCGTTAATTGTTATCAAGTCTTTTTCAACAGTATCTAGTTTCCAGCTGTATAAAGGATAAAAGAAGGGTTTCCAAACTTATGCAACAATGGTGTATCAAGACACAAAGATGGAAATTTTGGCCATGTCCAACAAGGGTATTCCATTAATCTCAGGGCATGGACAAGTTCAAATGGGGTGTGTGTGTATGGAGTAGGCGAGGACGGCATATTCTGCAAGAGTGTATGGATTGCAGGAGACCGGAGAGAAGAAAGATTGAGCAATAAAGGGGATTTTGCAATAAAAATTGTTAGTGGGAGCATTACTTTGCTCCAACTGAGCTGCTTAAGCGGTGGAGGATGGCCCTCTTCGCTGGTTAAAGATAGAGTTTGTTAAAGAGCCATTAACTAAATTTCTATTGTCAAAGTTATAATGTGTACATAATAATAGACAATTAGTTTAAGTGAATTATTTAGTTATAAGTATAGATTATTATCCATAAGATAAAAATGGAGGTTTTTAGGTTATAATTATTTTAAAACGTCAATTTCGGTAATAACACAACCTGTATTACCGACCCTAATTGTTTCAATTAAATTTAACATTTTCCTTTTTTTAATTTTTAATTTAATATGCTTATTTCGATTAATTATTTCAAAATTTATAATAAACATTCTTATAAACAACTAAATATTTGACTAACAAGTCAATTTTTAAACGAGCCAATCAGAAAGCGCGCCGTAACAAGACGCCATCTTGTTGAAGAAGCCGTTAACTACCAATTGTGGTGTTGTCTTCGTTGGTTATTTTCGACATCTTAATAGGTAATAAATTTGTTCTTGTTGCTTTAAACGCTTTATAAATGGGTTTTCTTTAGAATCATGTCAAGTGTACATATTTCCATTGCTGTAAGAGCAGTGGATCCTGATACGGATCCCGATGACAATGAACCTGAAAGTGCTTGGTTGGTACAAGATAACGCAATTCATCTCATAGACAACACTGCAATTCCAAACAATGATTACCCCATGCACTTTGATCGCGTTTTCGATCGGAATGTTTCAAATGAAGTAGTTTACAACGATATAGTTGCACCGCTTATTTCTGACGTCACAAGAGGTTATAATGGGTCTCTTATGGTCTGTGGGCCTTCGTTTATTAGCAAACAATACACCATGGAGAACATGCTTACAGACACCGGTCTGATCCCTAGAGCGATCGAGCAAATCTTCAAAATAGCCAGTAAAGAAAAAAAACGAGGAAACTTCATAATTCGATGCTCAAACATCATGCTTTATAAAGATAAAGTTTACGATTTGTTGAGATTTTCTGCAAAGGAGGTCAACATCGTCACCGTTGAGCATGGAAAAGTTACAATTGGGGCCAAAGAAGCTGTCGTTTCAACCAAAAATCAAGCTACGGATGTATTTCAACTTGGTTTGGTGAATAGAGATTTATACCAAGAAAATGGAACAATGGATGCCACCGTTTGTGATATGATATTTCGAATTGTAATGTTTAAAAAATTTTATAATAATTTGTTATTATTGGTTTTTTTTTTATTAGATAGTTGAACACACAGAAAAAGGCAAAGATAACAAACTCATCGTGCATTCAGGTTGCTTGAATATGGTTACTTTAGGAGGATCTGATGCTGGACCTAATCAACCAGGGGCTTCTACATCTAGTTCTGACGGACAGTAAGTCTTTTCAATTTGCTAAAATTTGATAAAACATTTTATTGTTGTTATAAATATGTTGATAATTACTTGTGTGAGCTCATCAAGGTAAGTTGTAGGGAAACCAAACTGTATAGAAGGTAGTACCTCATTGTCATTTATATATTTATGTAACTGCGTTTCCATACAATGCTCCAACACCTTACAAAAGAATTGGCGAGATACTTATGTTGTGGACTGATATGGTCACACTACTATACTTATTACATAGTATACTATACTACAATACTTATTTTCCCTTTCCTCGCTCCCTCAGCGGATTCTGGCCACCAATCTTCTCTCTTCCTCGTACTTCCATCAACAGATACTTTGGCAGTTCTTCGGTCACTATTTCCCCATACCTTTCATTATATCTTTCATCCGTATCTGTGTCCTTCTCTCCTGCCTCTGTATGTCCTTGTCTCTATCCCTCAGTTCTCTCCACATTTCACCTCTCTCCACTCTTCTGTTGACGATTCCCGTTAGTGAATATCCCACTGTCCTATAATATCCTTCCTTCTCTCCTTGTCCATATATCAACGTCCTCTCCTTAATTTGCCTCCAGCACACCCCCAATATCCTGCAATGCGTTCTTCCTTCTATCCTTTCCTCGTACTTCACTGCCCTTCTCCCAGCTTCCACTCTTATTTCATCCACCTTAATATCTTCTTCCCTCACTATACAGGCTGGCTCAGTAACTGGTTGCTACTTCCACTATTCGTAGAGGTTTGGAATTTTGGTAGCATGGGTTGTTCATTCGGAACTTTCCATCTAAAATATTTTTAAGATGGCCGTCACTACTGGTCCACCGGAAGTAGACCATAACTTCGATATTTTAAATGGAATGCTATAGTTTTTATTGCAATTGTTTTTTGGCAAATTACACCATGCTCTTTAAAACCCCATATCTCAGCTATCATTCATTCAAATAGACTGTCATTTGTTGTATCTGAGTATCTTATACAGGCTGGTCAAAAATTGAATTACCGTTTCTCCATATTCAATGGCGAGAAAGTAGAAAATTTTAAATCAGAAAGGTAATTTAATTCTCTACAAATTATCTATAAACATTTGGGAAATTTATGGCCTTCTAATAAAAATTCAAACGGTTTCCGGCATTTCCTGTATGTTTTGATAAATTTTCCAATATGAGAGAAACTATAATAAATAGGTATAGGAATGTTTATAGATAATTTGTAGAGAATTAAATTCCCTTTCAGGTAGGCTAATAAAATATGGGGTATTCCATTTTCTAACCATGCTGTATAAGATACTCTGATAAAACAAATAACAATCTGTTTGACAGCATCTCAAGAGTAATCGTGCCAATTTAGAGCTTTTTTGAATAAACGTTGGCTGAGATATGAGGTTTTATAGAGCATGGTGAAATTTGCAAAAAAAAAGCTTAAAACCAAAATAACTCCAAAACGAAAAACGCTAGGTACCAATAACTTTTATGAAAGTCAACATATTTTTTTACGTATAATTAAAAGGTGTAAAGTAATAATTCCGGTAGACCGGAAGTGGCAGTCATCTTGAAAATATTTTATTTAAAAAAGTTCTAACGAACCAGTTACGTGAGACACCCTGTATACTCTGGAGTCTCCCTCGCCAACCCTAGTACTCACTAATACCTTGTGTACATCCTCCAGCTTGTTCTTTCCATCCCCATACTTCTGCGCCGTACATCATTGCGATCCTCACCAAACCCTCAAACATAACCTTTCTCACCCTGTTAGCTCTTTTTGCCATCGCCATCACGTGCAACCCAATCTTATTACCCTCCGAGAACTCACATCCCAAATACGTGTACTCTTTCACTTCCTCTATATCGTTTCCCTGCCATATCCATTCTTCTTAGGCTGAAGGTAAATGTCGAGAAGAGAAAGATCATGATGCTCTGCTAAAGGGCAGAAGGAAGAAACAGATAACGCGGTAATCAGAACTCTATACCTACTCAAAACTTTACTTATCATTAAGATTAATCAACTTCTGCGTAAGCATACTTAGAACCATATGTTAAACATCTTGCATCTATCGCATATATAGCTTTCTGTACACTCAGGGCTGTCTGCACATTCTTCATGAGCCCACCCTCTACAGCTGGAGCACTGTATCCTGTGTCCTCTAAGCACACTACGCAAATAGTTCTTCCAATGTCAGATACTTCAGTTAACAGTTCCTTCTTTGCTTTTCCACTTTTTCCTTTGGCTTTTATTCCTTTGGTCTGTTTCCCCTTCTCGGCTATTGCTGCTTTAAACCTTTTTCCCAATCTTTTTTTTTGTCTTTAACGTTCTTTTTATTCTTTTTTTCTTCAACGGCAATTTTGTACGGTGATGATGTTAGAATTTCACTTTTTTCACATTTTCTCCTCCGAACCGCTGACGGTTTTTTGGAAGCATCGGGCAATGGGGATAAATTATGGACAAACTGGACAATATTTGGATCAAAGCTCGGTGATGGCTTGGGACTGCTGATTGTTGGTTCGTGGGTAGATCTTTTAGGAGTGTCTTTGGATTCTTTTGACACCAAATTGTTAGACAATTCTGCATCGCAGAAAGTTGATGAGCTACCAGCAAAGGCCAAATCAGTGGAATACACGGAAACTTCCCCAGAGATCGCAATATCTACTCGAGC